AAGAAAAATTTTGATTATATTTTACTATCTGGGTTGGTTTTTTTAAAAACCTGTAAAAAAATTTTACATGTTTTTATATATAAAATTTTTTGAAAATAAAATTAAAAGCCAGGTTGCCAGGTCATTTTTTACATTTTATGTTATGAGAACCAAACAATTAACTTTGTATAGCCTAATATAAAAAATATATAATAATTTTTTTTTTTTTTTGATTTTGCCATATACATGATATTTAGTTACAATTTTTGTATCAAGGTGATACTATTCTAACTATTTATTTATCTCATATAACCATTTTCACGTGATAAATCACCACTTATTTTCTATTAAGGAATTAATTTAAAGTACAACTAGTTAGGGAGGGACAAAAATTAGCTGATTTTTTAGGGGGGTGGAAGTTTATAATTCGATCAAGTCTTATATTTTGTAGTTAAATTTAATTAGCTAATATTTGAATCAGGTAGGGGGTGGGGGTATAGGCTCTTAGTAACTTGGAATCACCTGATTTCTGTCTCTTCCCTTATAGTAAGGGAAGAGGATATCCAACTAGTGCTATCTATTCCGCCTGTTACTTAACGTCTGACCTAGATTTCTTTGAGTTGTATAATGGTCAGGAGGGTGGACCCCTTCTACTGGTGAACCCAGTAGCCATTGATCAATTAGAGGAAGTTCTTTATCAAATAAATTCTATATCTTTATGGACAGATTACACTGCTTCTGAACTACTTCACAAAAGAATTCTTTATCAGATAAATTCTTTACCTTTACAGGCAGGTTACACTGCTTCCGAATTACCCTGCCCTTATGGAGTTCACCCAGACACTTAAGACTGCGCTACCTCTCCACTCAGGTCTTGTTAAATGGATACCAATCTTGCCAAAGTCCCAGGAATTATCTGATCATAATAGGGATGGCAAATATTTTAAAACAACCTGTTTTAAAACATGTTTTAAATGTTTTAAAACATCTAAATTTTTTAATAAAAATAATAAAAAACAATATTTATTTATAAACCAATCATAGTATAGAATTTTAATCATGTGATATATAGGACTCTTCACAATAAAAGTAGACAATAAGTTAAAAATTTTTTATTAATCCTTCTGATATCTAAAAAATTCTTAAACTATATTATACAAGTTTATTAAAATACACTAGTAATATTTAATAATACAATTATTAAAATTTAAACAATTGACTAAAAACTAAAGTCAGATATATTAAATAAAAATGTTTAAAATCCTCAAATCCTTATACTAACCAAAATTTGAACCTTTATATCTAACCTTTTAACCCTAAATTTCATAGCAAAAAATATATATGGTGTCAAACATCACTAATGTATTTTACTCTAAATTTCATAGCAAAAATATATGTAATATCAAATACTACTAGTATATTTTGATATTCTTCATATTATATACTTAAAAAACTATATTTATAAAGTATGAATTTTTTTATTATTTAATAAAAAACACAAAAAATGTTTTAAAACATGTTTTAAAACATGTTTTAAAACAAGAAAATAAAAAACATGTTTTTTGCCATCTCTAGATTATAAAGACTTATCGTGAGTTTGCACTGCTTTTTGTCAGCTTGCATGCCTTTGTATAACTTATACATCATACGAATGCTTTATAGATCTTTCCAATTTGGTTAAATTGGTGTATACTAGGTTACAGAACTGAGCCTCAACTTTGATGAGTACTGTGCATAACACAGCCCCAACTGGGAAGATCATAGCTATTATACAGATAGAAATTCGAAAATTCGCTAGCAATAGAATTCGAACCTTAGACATACTACTTGGGGGTGACAACTTGACCACTTCACTAAATTGCCACACTCTATACAATAATTTTAAAGTGAAGATGTGGTAATTTAGTGAAGTTGATAAGTTGTCACATCTTCAAACGGCAGGACAAGAGTTTAAATCCTACTAATGATGAAATTCGAATTTTATAGAATATGTTATAGCAAACTGTGTATAATCTAATGAATTATTAGATCTGTAGCTTTGATTATACAAGCTTGTACTGGAAAGCTATAGAATATTTAGTATAATATATTAGTTATATGAAACCTAAGTGAAGCAGTTAGGTAAATTCAAAAAAGCAAGTTCCAAGTAGAGAAGTAATGCAAACTTTTGATAATACTATATAAAGAATTATTAACTGAAGAACCAGAACTAAACAGAACTGAGGTGTTTAGCAAGACACTATACCAACCAGGTTGCTGATATAAACTAGAAGAAGGGGTCTGCCCTTTCAGACTATCTGGATTAAGAGTTTAAGAAATTGAAAAAAATGATAAACAGTCTGTATAGTGGGTGCTAAGGTTTAGATGAACTCTACAAGGACAGAAGTAGGTAACAATAGCGGCTTTGGCTCACAAGTATTTGTTCTTAAACTTGACATAAGTTACTAAAGTCTAGATTAACTGAATTGTGAGTATAGAAAGCTCTAGCAATAATACTTTAAGGATAAATTAGTTCTAAAGAAATAGGAAAAGCATCTAAAACTTCTTGACTAACAAATATAACAGAAATGTACTGATGATGCAAGAGGATTGCATTATAGAGAGTTTAAATAGATAATCCTCTAGTTGGGTTATAGATATGGCAAATAATATAAAATCTATAGTATACAGTTATTTATATATGAACTACTTAAATAGACTACCAAAAGTTACATATGTGACTAGTTGTACTCTTTAATATAAGGAAATTCTATTGCAAACCTCCCCACCCAAATGACTTGAATAAAAACCTTGCATCAAAAAGGCTAGTTAAAAAAAAATATTTTATAAAATAGGTAAGCAAACTCAGCAAACTCCACAATTAAAAATTAATGATTACTAATCATTAGCGAAGCTTAATTCTTATATTGCCCACCTATTCTATAAACATCCAAAACAAAACAATAATTTTAAAATTATATATATATAATTTATATTTATCAAGACTTTTATACTTAATAGCAGACTATTATACTGTATAGTTAAAAATTTTTACCTACTTGATAAGTTTTCTTCTTTCTAATAATAGTTTTTTTTAGATTTTTAATATAAATTTTAACTCTTTAGTATTAGTATTTGTTTTTTATAATAGATTTGTTTTGATTCTTACTCTTTTTTTATTACTTATTTTCTTACTTTTTTTTTTCTCTTTATAAAAAAATATCATTAGTTTGGTGATATTCTATTATAGAGCAGAAATCTTGATGATATAGACAATAGCTAGCTAAGAAATCTAAGAAAAATAAGTTTGAAGTAAGTTTTGAATCTCCAAAGAAGGCCAATTGTTGCTAGATAGGTTGTATCTAAGTATAATACTTTGGTTTTGGTTCATCTTAACTATAAGTGAAATGTTAGAAGTGAGCTTAATTTTTTTAAGTGCCTATGTTTATTCACTTCAACAAATAAATACAAAAATAGTTTGTACTTATTTATTCATACTATATTATTAGTCAAAATAATATTATGATGTATTATATATTTTTTGAACAAACATCATCTAAAGTAGATAATAAAGTCAATTTTTTAACTATGTGAGTGGAACATACTTTCATTGCATAATTTGCTTCTGGAAGTTTACGATAATGAAGTATTCGGATCAGAAAAACCTTCGCTTGCAGATCGTTCATGTGATTACTTCATACCAGGCTATTTACATCAGAGATGTTAACCCTCTTTGGAAGTAATCCAGTCTTGATCTCTGAAAAAATTAATATATTCTAATACAGTAGTTCGTAACTGATCTGATAATATATAGATTTCGAATAAATTATATAATAATAAATGTTACTAATAACATTTAAACTATTAGTTCAAATAACATTATAATCAAAATGACATAATGAACTATTATAGACTACTAAACTAACTAGTTTGAACTTATCAGTTTTGAAGTAGAACTAGACTAGGTGAGCTATTTAAAATCCTAATTCCCACACCGGACATTCCAATCTTCCTCTACTAAGATTTGAATGTCAGTCATGCTCAAATGTTATGTTAATTTTTTTAACAGAGGTCCTGCAAAGGACCTGAGTTATATAATTTAAACAAACAAATGAATCTACTCGCCCTTTTTAAAATTCTTAAAAACAGTTAACCTACCCACCCACCCTTAATAATTGTCAATAATTGTTATTGACCCGCCCACCCACTCTTGATGTTCTACGAATTTGTGTAACCATCAATCTTAGGCTTCGTTTTAATAAAAAAACTTAAAAATACTATTCATAATAAATACATATATACAAATACATAAAAATCAAAGGTTACATTCACTCAAGTTACTGATATTAACAGTTTTTGGAAATTATTATGATAGAAATATTAACTGGCCAAAAACTTTTCAATGGTTGCAATTTTGATGCTAAATTAGTGGGGATGATTTGTCATGGATTACAACCTGAATTTATCATAAGGACACCAAAATATTAAGTTAAATTAGCCAAACAATGTGTTAACTCAGATATGAAAAAAAGACCTACAGATGTTGAGATTATTAATAATCTTGAAAATTGGAACAACATTATGGTTGCCAATGATAGCAATAACTATTTTTGTTGGATAATTTTAGAATTATTGAAGTAGATAAAGGTGGATTTTCCGTAATGAATAAAACGTCATATGAAGTATATGAAGAAGTTGCAATCAAGATAATAAAAAATTTGCATAAAAATAAAAAAAAAACTTAAAACGAGGTATTTATTTTTTTTAATGCGCAAATTTATATTGTTTATAAGTTAATTGTATATAATTTTTTTAATTAAAGACATCACGAATTTGGTAACTACAAAGGTATGTTGTCGATGGATAAAAACACCAGAGATTTTAGTTATGCGATATCGTTAATGATCTACCAAAAATTCAATCTAAAAACTTTATACATCGAAATTTACATTCTGGTAATGTTTTATTAAAAGAACGATGTGAAGCTTATATTGGACTAGGTTCATCAATATCGATTGATGAAAAACAAGATGGTCATATGTATGTCTTTTGCTATACGTCCTGAGGTTTTGAAAGGTAAACGTTTCACTCAAGCTGCTGATATTAACAGTTTTGGAATTATTATGATAGAAATATTAACAGGCAGAGGGCCTTTCGACGGTTATAATTTTGATGCTGAATTAGCAGCAATGATCTATCATGGATTACGACCTGGGTTTATTATAAGAACACCAAGATGGTATGTTCAATTGTGCAAACGATGTATAGAAAGACTAGCCCCCGGAACATTGCTTGGACCTGAGAGCTAGAAAACTAAAAATTTAAAAACTTAAAAGCTAGAAAAAATTGAATCTTCGCTCCTGGGGCATCACCCGGGGTTAAGAGCTAGTACCCGATTATATTTGTCGATCACTCGGTTGACCAATGGATTTTATCCATCGGCTAACCGGATAGCGTTTTTTGACCGAGTACAATCACTAGGATGATCCCCCTTAGCTTTTTGGATATTCACTATAAGGTAGTAAGGTAGATGCACTAAAAACCAAGACCTATGAAAAATTTTTTATGTAACATTATGTAGAAATTTATTGATTATTATTTTATAAATCGAATTGTCAAAAATTCTTATATTGATTAAATATAAAAGTTAGGATTATATTTCAAGTTTAAATTAGAGTTTGGGGAAGGTTGTCGAGCATTCTAGACGTTTTTACCTAGTTTATTCACTTTTGAGAAATAGCTAAAATAAATTATATTATTTTAGCATGGCAGAAACTCGTATCCGAAATAATTTTTATACGAACTATTTATGCGGACAATTGAAATTTTGATATACGGTGTAGTCTAAAAACCGGCAATTTCACGACGCTTAATCAACTCAAGGTATCCCATTTATGAGTAAAATTTCTTCGTTTCGAGTGTTTATAACAGAAAAACTTTTCTAATCATTTTCAATCATTTTCTCCAGAAAGTTTTCATAAGAACAAAGGTAGAGCGTTTGGTAATTTGCAGAGCTTATTAGGTTTCTACTGCGTTTAAATTATTAAGCTAAGCTAAACAATAAATTTATAAATTGTTAAACCATGAGTGGGATACTAATAAAACTTTATAAATTTATTAAACAGGCTAAGCAATATAAACAATTTAACACGACTTATTTTACCTGACCTAAGATATATATACGTATTATTTATTGTCTGAAGCGTAACTATGTTGATCAAAAGTGAATGCACATCTATGTAATGTATGTCAGAAAATCCAATAAGAATTGAGAATTGATAGGTTCCCGTGATGATCAGCAATCAGTGTAACTCAGTTTAATAGTACCACCAGTAGTGAAACGAATAGATGGTTCAATTCGAGTTTGTCGTTTGTACACAAAATCTTGGTTTTGATTGTATATAGTAAGCTGATGACTCTCATGTAGGGGCCTGCACGGGCCTAACAATTTGTACTTTTGCCGGCCCGCATGGCCCGCAAAATAAAATTTACTTTGTTTTTTACAGCTTTTCATAATTCCTGGGACACCTGTAAAAAAAATTAGTCGAATGATTTTCATCCGATCCGGTTAATTTATTATTTCGACATAATAGATTCATGTTACATAAATTACAATTTTACATTATACGTAATTTTACGTAAGTTTCAGAAAATTGAATTTCATGTAATTTTCACACGGCATACATGAAACTCCAGATTTACAAAATTCGGCAGCATTTTT